ATTGGTTCCAGATTGGAAATGTCCATACATTGCAACAAGAGTACTATTAAAAGAGTGCGTGGTACTTGGGACACATCGAAGAAAATCTCCTAGAAACAACTGTCAATACAAATGCAGTCAAAAGGTACTATGTTGGATCCTCTAAATAGCATTAATATTCTCCGGTTGGGATGAAGAAAGTTTTCTTTCTCACTCTCCAAATATTCAACCCTTTGCAAACCCTTTGAGCCGGCTCCCATTCTTTGATTACCCTCTTTGAAACTTGGAAGTTATTATTGAGAAAAATGAAATGAATGAAAAATAAAATTAAATGAATGAAAAAAGAAGAAAAAGAAAGATGCAAAAAAATGGAAAGAAAAGACAAAGAAAATGAAATGAAAAAAAATTAAAAAAAAGAGAGGAAAAAGGAAAGGAAAAAGAAAGAGAAAATAAAACAAAATAGAAAAACAAAAGAAAATAAAAAAAACAAAGTTTCCTAAACTACGTTCGACTTGATTCCGAAAGGATACGTAGGCAGCCTCTCTCTGGGGTTCAGTCACACCAAAATAAAAACTCACATTCCCCAAAAAGTTGAAACTGTGGCAGAAGTTATAATGGTTTGGTGATAGTTTCGCCCGAAAGGTTCCAAAGTTGTAATTCAATCCAAATGCTTTTTACCCCAAAACCATGTTCAAGTCCTTCTGATCGATCGACAAAGAGTTTCAAATTGGAAGATACAATTGTTTGGATCTGATACAACCAAATGAGAGAAATAAAAGGAGAGAGTCTTATCGGTGAAAACCCTCATGGGCACTATAAGGCGATGGTAAATAGAGAAATTGAAAATGAGAGTCTTGTTAGTGAAAACTCGCAAAGAGAACTATAAGGCAACTGTGAGAAGATAAATGGGAGAGATTAGCTGGTGAAAACCCGTAAAAGGTACCACTGATCAGAAAGAGGATCCTCACAACCATCGGCATCAACAGAGTCCTGGCAAGGTTCTTCGATTTTAAGGCAAAGTTGTGATAAATTTCTGAGAGTCAGACGATTTACACAGATCAGGAATCCAATCCAAAAGGCATGTCATGTTAATTGGAGTCCACATGCACTCCAGATAAGTCCTTTCTTCTCCTCGAAAGGGATACCTCTCGTCTAAATTCATTGTCCATTCCATTGTTTGTTTTTCTTTGAATCCCTTTCAGTCTAACTCTATTCCGAAACTAAGACAGAGAAAGTATGGTAAGACTGATTTATAGGGCTTTTGTCTAACACGAGTTAATGTGCAAAATGGCACCCAGCCTCGTTAGGGGCATCAAGTCGACCTCGACTGACCATGGCAGCCGATGCTTCTAAATCAAAACTCTTGGAATGAGAAAATTAAATTGAAGTGTGTATAAAGGCAAATGAAGTTGAAAAGGTTAAGTCCCACGTTGCTAACCATCTCGGCAAACGTTTGAAAATCCAAGGTACCCCAAATGCTGTGAAATTGAAGTCGGAAGAAAGAAGCCAGAAATGAAAGGTCTACGAAGGCGAAACAAAGTTGGAAATGGTTAAGTCCCATGCGACTAGCCGTTGTACCAAAGTTTGAGGAGCCAAAAGTTCCACAATGCTCCTAAGTTAAAAAAAATAAAAAATTCAACAAGTCAGAAGGGAAAGGCCACAAAGGCAAAATAAAGTTGAAAAGGTTAGTCCCACATGGCTAACCGACACGGTAAAGTTTGGAAAGCCAAAGTTTCTCCGGGGACAGAAATGAAATCGGTCTTCAAGAAACAACCAGCTGCAGTCGAAAGTATCATCAAAGAAGCCGACCAAGATCAAGCGACTGAAATAATCAAGGCCACAAAACCAACCACCGTTTCAAACTAACAATTGTTTTTTGTTTGAAAACAGAAAACTGGTGCAATCAAAAAGTAACATTGCAAGAAGCATGTGCAACCAAAAAGAAATGGTGCAGGGGCTAAAAAACAGCTTTGTAGCAACAACTCAAAAAAGGGAAGTATCCTCCAAAATTCTTTACCGCATTTTACTCACTCTCTTAAATTAAAAAAAAAATGAAAGATAAAAAAAATGAGATGAAATGAAAAGAAAGAAAATAAGAAAAGTTTAAAATCATGGTAGTATAGGGTCTCCAATACCTAGCTGCATTTTTTCCAATATATGGTCTCCAATCCCTAGTTGATTTTATTCTAGACATAGGGTCTCCACTCCCTAGTCGCTTTTCCAACATAGGGTCTTCACTCCCTAGTTGATGCCAGCATAACATGATGCCAACATAGGGTCACCACTCCCTAATTGATGCCAACATAGGGTCTTCACTCCCTAGTTGATGCCAACATAGGTTCTCCATTCCCTAGTTGTTGCCACCATAACCTGATGCTAGCATAACCTGATGGCAGCATAGGGTCACCACTCCTTAGTTGATGCCAATATAGGGTCTTCACTCCCTAGTTTATGCTAGCATAAGCTGATGCCAACATAGGGTCACCACTCCCTAGTTGATGCTAACATAGGGTCTCCACTCCCTAGTTGATGCTAGCATAACCTGATGCCAGCATATCCTGATGCCAACATAGGGTCACCACTCCCTAGTTGATGCTAACATAGGGTCTCCACTCCCTAGTTGATGCTAGCATAACCTGATGCCAGCATATCCTGATGCCAACATAGGGTCACCACTCCCTAGTTGATGCCAACATAGGTTCTCTATTCCCTAGTTGATGCCAGCGTAACCTTATGCCAGCATAACCTGATGCCAATATAAGGTCACCACTCCCTAGTTGATGCCAACATAGGGTCTCCACTACCTAGTTGATGCCAGCATAACCTGATGCCAACATAGGGTCACCACTCTCTAGTTAATGCAACCATAGGGTCTCCACTCCCTAGTTGATGACAACATAGGGTCTCCACTCCTAGTTGATGCCAACATAACCTGATGACAACATAACCCGATGCCAACATAGGGTCACCACTCCCTAGTTGATGCAAATATAGGGTCTTCACTCTCTAGTTGATGCCTGCATAACCTGATGGCTTTCCAACATAGGGTCTCACTCCCTAGTTGATGCCAACATAACCTGACGACTTTCCAATATAGGGTCTCACTCCCTAGTTGATGCCATCATAACCTGATGACTTTCCAACATACGGTCCCACTCCCCTGTTGATGCCAGCATAACCTGATGATTTTCCAAAATAGGGTCTCCACTCCCTAGTTGATGCCAGCATAACTTGATGATTTTCCAACAAAGGGTCTTCACTCCCTAGTTGATGCTAGCATAACCTGATGACTTTCCAACATAGGGTCCCACTCCCTAGTTGATGACAGCATAACCTGGCAGCATAACCTGATGACTTTCCAACATAGGGTCCCACTCCCTAGTTGATGACAGCATAACCTGGCAGCATAACCTGATGACTTTTCCAACATAGGGTCCCACTCCCTAGTTGATGCCAGCATAAACTGATGCCAACATAGGGTCACCACTCCCTAGTTGATGCCAGCATAGAGTCTCCACTCCCTAGTTGATGCTAGCATAACCTGATGCCAACACAGGGTCACTACTCCCTAGTTGATGATTTTATAACATAGGGTCTCCAATCCTTAGTTGATTTCATTTTAGATATAGGGTCTTCACTCCTTAATCTCCTTTTCCTAAGGATACACAATCCTTATTTTTATTGTTGGTTACAATAACTCACGAAATTTTCCTAGTGAAAACTGGGGCAAAAGAATTCCGTTCGTTTGTTTATTTTCGTGTCTGAGCAGGTTATACCTCGAGACATAGGGTTCGAGACAACCAAAAGAAGAAGTCTCAATCCAGAATAAAAGAAAAAAAAGAAAAGAAAAAGAAGCGAACCCAAAGTGCAGAAACGGAGAAAAGATATGGACTGCTCAAGACATGATTGAAGTCACAAGCTTTGCATGTCCCGGTTTGATCCGAAAAGCTGAAGAAGAATGAACCAGCACTTGCAGCTAACAAACATCAAGATTCAGATCAGAGTCTGCATGAAGAACCAGCCAAGACTCAAGATCAAGCTCCAGAAGACTTATAGATATGAATTTGTAACTCATAACTGATGGGCTTGTTTAGTTCCTTTAAATTTTGATTTTGATGTAATAACAGGACCACGGACCGAGCCTCGACGGAACCTCACTCGACTCTCGAACTCGGCATTCCATCATTCTCCTTGAACTACACGCGTCCTGATTCCCTTATGATCGGGGATATGTAGCTTGTCCAAAATTAGGACTCGGTTGCACCCTTTCCTTTGTTTATTTTCCCTTTTGAATTAAGATTTGGTCAAAAATTAGTCACATGGCTCACTTTGTCTTTGCCTGAAAACTCTTCATGTTTCCAAGCAAAGAGGGGCAACTGTGAGCACCTAATTTTTTACCATACTTGAGATTTTTAACACTTTTTAGTATGTAAATAATTTTAAGTTAAATCTACGTATTTTAACCTTTGTTTCATTTTTTATAGGGTTTTACTAAAGAAAATTAAAAATCACAAAGAGTTATATTTTTTTAAAATAGTGACTTTTATTCTTGCAAGGGATAGGGAAGTTTTTCAAGATATATATATATATATATATATATATATATATATATAAACAATAAAATTGAGTGATTATGAAGAAAAGAAAAAAGAAAATAAAAAAGAAAAATGGAAGAATGAGTTAACGAAGAGAAAGAGATGAATTTTTGTCCTGCACATGCTTTCTTCTTTTTCAAATTTTGTGGGTACAAAATGAATTTGGCATTTTGCATCTTTTACTCTCCATTCATTCACATGGGCATGTCACTTTCATAGGATTTTTTTGGTAAAAAAATTCTCTTTCTTATCATTTTTCACAAGTACAAAACACTCATATGCATAAAAGGAGGGGGGGGGGGGGAAAAAACAAAGGGGGGTAAAAACAAACAAAAAAAATATTTGCACATGAGATTCTTTTGCACAGCTCACACACGTGTTGGGAGGGGAGCCTTTTCCTTCCTTTTTCATTTATATATAACACACACAACAACAGAAAAGGGAAGCAAAAAAAACCCTAGGAACGTAAGTAAAAAAGCGGCGCAGAAAAAGAAAAAGGGGTTAAAAGCAAAGAAAACGAGAGGAGCAGATCAGAGAAGAGGACATGAAAACAGAAGAAAAGAGATCTATTCCATAACCATTAAACCATAAGCTCTCACCACACCATTAAAGAACCATATAGCCAACAACCCCCCCCCCCCCCCCCTCCTTAACAAAAGCAGTGGCTCAAATCTCAAAGGCCCTTCAGAATTCAGCCGAAATCAGCTTGTCTCCTTCACCGTTGAAACCAGCCAAAATCCGAGTTTGAGAGGTCCGTTTGAGATGAGATCGATTTTTTGTTAGTCGAGCTCCGATCGAGGTGCTTGTTCGTGGCCCGGTCGCTCTTTAAGTTTCAATTTGTCCAACAAACAAAGTTCAAATTCAGTCTAATAAAAAGGTCTTTCCTTCTCTGGTTCCTGTATTTTCTTTGTGTTTTATACGTAGGGATATAATATTGCTCTTAAATCTTATACTAAATTTTTGGTCTATGCCTATCACTGTTTATCTCTGAACTAGCATGTTAAAATGGGTATCTTAAATTGTTTACTTGTTTGTCTTTTGTGTTTTCGTGGTTTCCCGTGAGAAATTAGTCCATAATATGATAAATGCACTTAATGTTTCATGTTTTTTGTTATTAGTTAAAATATTGGAGTAGTGAGAGGGTTTAATGGACTAGTAGAAATATTGGCTTGGTTGAATTGGTTATCTTAATTGGGTTGGGGATTCTGTACATGTATAAGAAATATATGGGTCATAAGGTTTGCGGTGAAAACTTACTTGTTATCGACTGTTTGGTTGTTCAGATAATTACTTGGGATAAATGAATCATTTTGATAAAGGAGCCCATACGCAATAATCTCAAAATTAATTTTAGGAAAATTATGAACATCGTAGCTTTCTTTAGGCGCGATTAATAAATCATCGTGGCTATGGGTACGACTCTCGTGGCATAGTCACGATACATAATCCCCAATTTGGGTGTGCATTTCATTGACCCGACCACAACTTCGAATAATAATAATAAAATAAATATGTCATAAATCGCGGGTGCATTTAATGTGACGCAGTTTGCAATGTGTACCAAAACGACAAGTGTACAACATTGTGACTTGTTCCAAAAATAATTCCATAAATAAATAAAAGCGGTTATAAAGTTAAAAATGCACAATAGGTTTAAAACATGTAATAAATCAGATAATTATGCCAAATATTAATAGCTGAACGACCGTGCTAAAATCACGAAAATCGGGAGTACCTCACACCTTCTCCCTGGTTAACAGAATTTCTTACCTCGTCTTCTGTGTTCACAGACCAAAAATAGAGTCAATTTCCTCGATTTGGGATTTAAAATAAACCGATGACTTGGGACACCATAAAATTATCCCAAGTGGTGACTCTGAAATTAAATAAATAATCCCATTTCGATTTATGTCACTTTAATTGGAAAAACTCCCTATCCCTATCCCCTCGGGAAAAAGGAGGTGTGACACTGATCAACAGTTAGAGTAGCTCTGTCTTCTTCTGGTTCCTCATGATCACTTTTAATTTCCTTGAGGTTTTCATATTCATCTTCTCCCTCTAACACAGGAATTGCATACTTTGTCAGAGCTGAATTCAACTTTAGGCAGCCCAAGGACCAAGTCCTTAGTTGCCAACTTATTGAGTTGAGAGAGACTGACATGTCTCAGTCTTCTATGTCATAGTAGTGGATCATCTTCCACTACACTCAAGTATGTGTGCTCACTCTGGGGAAGTTACATAATCGATATCTTGTAGACATTGTTATGTCTCTTACCCCTTAGCACAATTTTATCAGTATCAAGCTTAGTGATAGTGCAAATTTTGGAATTGAATTTTACCTCATTTCCTTTGTCACACATTTGAGAGATGCTAACAAGATTGTGTTTAAGACCTACCACATTATAAACATCTTCTATAGCATGAGAGAGTGACTTGCCAATATTACCAATACCTTTTATCTGGCTTTTTTTCCCATTACCAAATGACACACTCCCTCCTTGGGAGACTTTTAGTGAGAAAAAGTTTTTCTTTTCTCCAGTCATATGTCTTGAGCATCCACTGTCTAGATAGCAGTCCTGATTGTTTCCTCTCACCTTAGCCTGCACCAAAATTCACAAGTTAGTTTTGGGAACCCAGACAAGCTTGGGTTCCTTTTTATTTGAAAAGGGATGAATCAGATCCCTTCTTGACCAGAAGGGGAGAGGATTAGAAGCTATTTTCTTGTTAACCTTAATCCACTTAGTATCGACAGGAGGATTAACCTTTGGCTCCTCTTCCTTCTTCACATTTTTAGCAATACCAAAGGTGTTCCTAAACTGAGCATGAATTAAGGCAGGGCATATGTTTCTAAAGTGTCCTACTCTTCCACAATAAGTGCACATTTTATTAATAGAAATTTCTACATACTTTGGGTCAAACTTAGGGACATGTTTTCTATAGCCAATTCCAGATTTGTTAGTGCTACAGTTTTCATTCAACCAATTCAAGGCATCAGAAGATCTATGCCATTTGCTTAGTCTAGAGAGTTCATAATTAACCTTTTCTAGGTTCTCATGCATGACTTTATTTCTACATTCAGCTTTACAGAAAATATCATTAGCAATTTTTAATTCCTTTTCAAGCTTATCATGCAGATCACTCATTTGACTTTGCCATATATATATATTCTCAGAAGTTAATTCAAGAACCTGGTTCTTAAGGTCTTTGGCCTATTTCTCTAAACTGGCTTTGTCGGATTCAAGCTCTTTGATGTCGAGTTTGACACAAGAAAGATTACTGATTAGCAAATAATATATATATATATATATATATACACACTCAGAAGTTAATTCAAGAACCTGGTTCTTAAGGTCTTTGGCCTATTTCTCTAAACTGGCTTTGTCAGATTCAAGCTCTTTGATGTCGAGTTTGACACAAGAAAGATTGCTGATTAGCAAATCATTTTCATTACTCATTTTATCCATTTCATTCATTAATGTTACAATTATGGACATCAATTGCTTTTTGGACATAGCATGAATATTTTCTTTCACGTCAGATATACTTACCTGGTTTGTTTCATCTTTAGTTTTTTAATCACTCATGTCCATCATTCCTATCATTTCTTCCTCTATTTTTGATTCTTCAATCGCCACCAGAGCCACTTCGATGTTTTCATTTCCAAAGTTAGTTTCCAATGTCCTCCATATATCATGAGCAGAGATGCAAGAGGACACTCTGAAGAGGGTATTTCTAGACAAACTTCTGTAGAGCAAGTCCTTTGCTTTGGCATTTTTATGAACTAGCTGACGATCTCCCTCATCGTATTCCTATTCTCTTTCGTTTCACTTGTTACATTCACCATCCAATTTGGTTGAGAGAATCGGTCCATGACTGACAATTACCCATAGATCAAAGTCAGTAGCCTGAAGAAATGTTTCTATACGTAGCTACCATTCATCATAGTGGAGTTCATCAAACAAAGGAGGTCTTTCAATGTCCATCCCAAGTTGTACTAAGGGTGCTGTCTTCACAGCTTGATGTTCATCGATCACAGCATAGAGACTAATAGACTCATCCTCTTTTTGTTCTTCTTGATCATTCTCACTGTCCTCATACGCTGCCAAGAATGCTTGCTTCATAGCTTTAGTAAATTCTTTACTTAGGATTTTTCCTTTGTTGGAACTGCTCTCTCTCATTTTCTCCCGTTTCTTTTTTTCAACTTGTTTTTTCCTCCACTCGATTTCCCACATTTGGCAGACCTTTACCATGTCATCTAGCTTGCCACACTTGTAGCACCCATCATAGTTATATTTTTCAATCTTCTTGTGCTTACTACTGGTCACTCTTTTGGATGCACTTTTGGAATTCTTCATGAACTTCTTGAACTTGGTAAACATTGCTAGATTAGGATCATCATAGTCAGATTCATCATCCTCGGATGCCTTAAAGACCAAGGCCTTATCTTTCTTTGGATCTTCTTTACGTAGTTCCATCTTTATCATTTCATGAGTTTCTAAGTTCCAACCAACTCATCAAGTGAGTTTTAATCCAGTTCTTTGCCTTCCTGGATTGCAGTTACTTTTGATTCCCATGAAGCTGAAAGGATGCTTAGGACTTTGCTAACCAACTCTTCATAGGTAAACACCTTTCCAAGTGATTTCAGTTCATTGGTTATTAAGTGAACCTAGTCATCATATCCTGGATGCGCTCAGACTCCTTCATAGAGAAAAGCTCATGGTTTCTCATGAGTAGTTCAACTCTTGATCTCTTAACTTGGTTTGTTCCTTCATGAGCGGTTTGGAGTGCATCCCAAATCTTCTTCACATTAGAGCACATAGAAATTTTATTGTACTCATCAGGATCAAGTCCACATATAAGGATTTTCTTAGCGTTTTCATTCTTCTCCATCATTCTGAAATCTGCTGCCACAAATTTAGAGGGGTCCTTAGGAACTGTTTCACTTTGTGCCACAAATTTAGAGGGGTCCTTAGGAACTGTTTCACTTTGTGCATTTTGTTTAGTAGGAATTAAAGGACCTTGGTTTACTATGGTCCATATTTCACAGTCTTCAATAGTTAAGAAATCTCTCATTCTTGCTTTCCACCAACTGTAATATTTTCCATTGAACAGGGGTGGTCTGGTAGGTGATTGTCCTTAATTAATTCTCGGTGGAGCACTCATATTTCTTCCAAGATCACTCTAGTTGTTAGCCGAGTAAATGAGAGAACCTGCTCTGATACCAATTATTAGTTTGAGTACCCGTATGAATTATTAAAGAACTTGGTTCTTTACCGCGTTCCTTAAGCAAAAAATAAACATGCAATAAAATGAACATAGTGATTTTTACGTGAAAAATCACCCGACTCAAAAGGTGTAAAAACCACGACCTACCAAGTAGGATTTTCAGCTCCAACTCCGCTAAACAATGAGCCAAAATGTATCAATTACAGTACTATAATTAAATACTTTTTAGTACTCCTACTACTCCTATTTAATTCATAAGTAACTCAAACTTGTTAAACTAACCACTCACTCCAATTCACTAATTGTTTATAACACTTGATTACAACTCAATTTCCTAAAATACATTTACTAGACTAACTCGGGAAGAGTACAAGATAAGTACTCAATACAAGTGAACTAGTTTATGACCTTGTTGTTGATATGTGAAAGGATAGTTCAGATGCCCAAACTCAATCTTATTTAAATACGACTTGAGATCTTCCAGGAGTCCTATTCATATTCAACTTCCTCTTTGATAGGACTCCTAATGTTCCAAGGATTCTACAAGCTTTGGGACTTTTGTCTCTGACAGATTATCCACATCTTCTTGAGCAACGACATTTATCACTTACATCAGCCATCTTCCACCAAACTCGAACCTGGTAACTTTGAGATAAAGTTACTGTCTTATACAAACGTACAAGTATCAATCATGAGGAGTTGATCTTTTAACCTAAGAAGTTGGTTCTTCACAACATTTAAGCAACTACATTGAAGACATGGTTCTTTGAGTAGTTAGCCACATTTTGTTAATCATCAAAACTTCAGCACTCAACACTATGTTACATTAATGAAGAAGTATAATACGAGATGTTGGTCTTGAATATAAAATTAAAATTAACATAGTTGCAAAAAGTAATAATGAGATACAGAGGAGTTACATTACCATAACTAAGAGGCAGTATTGTAAATTTATGTTGTAAAAATTTCAATCTAGTGAATACCCTAATTTTAGGGCCATTGTTTTAATGTTTAGACAATTCGGCAACATAGTTTGCCTAAATGTTTAGGCATTCATCTTTTTGACATTAGTTCTCAGTTCCTAAAATGTTAGATACTTATATTAAATTTTGTTATTTCAGGAGCCTGTTAATGATGGAGATAATATAATCAAATTCTGTGATGAGACTGGCTTACTAGAAGCTTTGGATGAAACTATCAACAGTATAAGAAAAAATCACCTTAAAGTGCTCACAAAGTACACTCACCCAATGATAGTTGCTTTTGTAAGTCTATGGGGTATTATGGTATATCATTATTTAGAATGTGGCATATTTCTAATTGTTGTACAAAGGTACTATATTTTGAATCCTTCCCTATTAGATACATATAAAAAAAGGAATTCTTCCCTATTAGACACTTATTAAAAAAAGGAATTCTTGCTCAATAGATTTGTCAGGTTATCAAACCAAGCATTGTTGGGGGTTCTGGAAATGAAGCATTGCTTGCACAATGGGCCCATCAGCAGGGAAAGGTGAAGAAGTTTCCTGCAATCCAATATGATGAACCTAGCTTTGAAAAAAAATAATAATAATAAGTTTGTCAATGGGGTAGTGATTGCTTCAAACTCCACACTACTAAAAAGTAGGAAGAGCGGGTCACAATAGCTTTTACCCGATATGAGGGTCGGGATCGATTTCCACGGGGAGCTAGGAATGGAGTCGAGTATCTATCTAGACTAGAAATGTGTATTTGTTCCAAATGTCACTTACATACATTTTTGGGTTTTTAGATTATAAACTGCTATTACCAACTATTAATTGAAACTAGATTATGCGACGGGATAATTGTTAAGTTGTATCTTATGGGAAGAAGGGCACTAGGGTCGTGACATTACCTAGGTGGCTAATTGACGGGTAGAAGTTACTAAAGTTCGATTGACATAATTGGGGCTTATGCTATAACCGTTGCACAATTTTACCCACTCTTACACCTCTCGGTAGAGAGAGTGATTTTGCCCAATTGACTCTCGAGAGACCAAACGAGTAGGCAAATTAGCTCAAGCAACTAATGTTCAAGTGGGGTAATTACTCTCTCGAGGTTTAACCCTTTAATTGGGACTATCAATTCTCTTGAGTCCATCCCAACTCCTTGTTGGGTCAATTTTGGAGACTTGAGCTTTCTTTCTCAAGAAGATCCAAGTCAACTTAGCACAAACCAGTGTTTGCAACCACCAATTCATAAATTAAACCATAAATTAACCCAAATAACATACACCCATAGTCAATCTAACAATAGATGGCAACACCCATCAATTACCCACACTAGGGTTGAGCCACAACCCTAGCTAATGGGTTTCGCTACTCATACTTGAAGAAGAAAATAGATAAATAGATGAAGGGCAAGGTATATTAATTAAATGCTAAATGAAAATACAAGAATCTATCGTTAAATTGAAGCTAAGATGCCAAAAAATGGCTACAGGTGATGTTCCCATGAGCGTAGCTATGTTCTGGATATATCTGATAACCTAAAAATGATAAATTGTTCTATTTATACTAGGCTGGAAAAACTTGACAAAAATACCCCTGCGGGGTTAGTGCGGGCCACGTAAAATGGACCGCGGCCGTGCTAGGCTCTTGGACTTTAATTTTGGGTTCTCTGACTTGGGCTTCGCGGATCGTGTAAAATGGATCGCGACCGCAGATGCAGCCGTCGCGGTCCGCACAACAATGACTGTGGACCCCGTTAGCATTTTCCATCTCTATGAATATCTCTTCCGTGGACCGCACAAGAAGGCAGTGCGGTCGCAGAACCTTCACCGCGGACCACGTACTGTGGATTGCGGCCGCGCTGCTTGAGGCCTGGTTTTTGTCATCTCTCTGAATACCTCTTCCTCGCACCGCACAAAAAGGCAGTGCGACCGCGAAACTTTCACCGCGAGCCGCGCAGTGTGGACTGCGGCCGCGTTGCTTGTAGCCTGATCTTGCCATCTCTCTGAATCGCCTAGTGCAGCCGCATTCCATTTTGTGCGGTCCGCACTAGGCTTGTTTGCCCCTCAGTTTACTTTGTTTTTGATACTTGAGTAGGTTTCACTCCGTTTGAGCCAATATTTGATATTTCGTCACTTTGTTGATCAAATCTGCAATCAAGCACAACTTATGAGCCTTTTGGGACTATTTTGTAATGATTTATAATCAAATCATAAGCAAGAGGGAGCATAAAACTCGTTAAAATCTCTACTTATCAACTCCCCAAACTTAAGCCTTTGCTTGTCCTCAAGCAAACAAAATAAAACCCACCCACCCCCTAAAGGAAAATCCAAGTATTTACAACTCTCCTAAAATAACCTCAACAAGCATCAATTGGGACTAACAACTGCCCTCAATATGAATGAATCATTAACAACATTTAAACTTTGAAAAACTATGGATCAAGTGTGACACAAGAGCATCAAGAGTTGACTCATTATGTCAAAGAACTCTTTCCATTTACTTTGGCCATTGTGGAACTCAAACTCACACATCCTAAACTCTCCCTAAGCAAACCTCACCTTTTAGAGTATTAGCACACAAACCGAGGTTAATGGGAATTTACTAATCTCTCTCAAGGAAAAGTCACAAGTCCAGCTCTAAGTACCATATGCTTGCCCCTCATGTAAGTATCCACTAATGTAAGCATCTTTCAACTCAAGATCATATAGGGCTTTTGAGGAGTCAATGTGAAGGCTTTTGGTTCAGGGTCGGAAAGGTTTGGTCTAAATGGGTTCCATTTCCCCGTAAGCACTTCTTTTGATTCATTTGGCACAATTCTCTTGACTCTCTGAGTATCTCAATTCTTTTTAAGGGGTTAGATAGACGTAATGTCACTCTTTTTATTGCACTTCAAAGTGTTTCTCCCTTTTCAACTTTTTCCACACCTTTTTCTCTTTTGTTTTTTTCTTGAATCCCTTTTTATTCTTTTCACCTTGGGCTTTCTTTTTGTCTTTTTCTTTTGTTTTCTTTTCTTTTTCATTGCCTTCCTTTTCTTCGATTTAGTACCTTTTACCACTTGTTCCTTCTCTCGTCTCTCCCCCCAAACTTAGACTTTTGCCATTGCTCAAGGGAAGATCGAGTGCCAAAAGAGGGTATATTTTGGAATGGATATAAGCTGATAATATTGGTTCTTGAAAGAAAAAGGTTTAAGGCTCAAAAGGGTTAACTAGGGAGTATATCATTGGTGGGATATGGAATTGTTCAACTATCATTTGGATCAAGGAGAGCCTATAATCACTTCTAAAGCCAAATTTCACTTAAGATTTCACCTCAACAGACATTCAGGGCAAGTTCTAGACCATTGGCTCGAAATTTGGACTCACAATTCAATTTCTCACCACACAAGCTCAAGGATTGTTAAAGACATAGAGTTGGGGACCCATAACAACCTTAGACACGATTTGAGCACACAATGGTCCCAAAAGACCACATGATGATTGTTTCGTCAATACAAGAGTCTCAAGGTCATGACTTTCACCATCCTAAACACAACGACTTGTCTTTGACCATGGGATCAAAGGCAACTGTGTTAGGCCCAAGTGAAGCTTTGCTTGAGGAAACCTTAATTACAAGCTACCAAAAATAGAAACAAAAATGGACTCAAACCCTTAAGAAGGTTGTCACGCCATCCATCATCGGGAAGAGCCACCCGGTTCACACAATACTCCACCTTTGGAAAGAACCGTGGCATTAAGAAAACCAAAGGCTTATCGAAAGTGCCAAAAACAAAACAAAAAGCTACGAGCCTATCTAAGGAACTAATTTTTTTTTTTATGAAAATAGAAAATAGAATGAATGTGTACAATAGGGGATTTGAATATACAACGGGGATGAATATATACAATAATATAACTTTATATACAGACCAAATGAAAGATAAAAAGTGCGATAAAAGTAACTAAACATAAAATTATATACAGACCAAAGATAAAAATCAAAAAGACATAAAGTGTAATAATATATACAGTCATCCAAAAATGTAGCGCGCACCTCCTCAAATAAAAGCTGGCATTGTCCCCAATGCCGACTAAACAAATAAGCACCAAAAAGTATAAGGAAAGGATATGGGAACTCCCTAAGCTGTGTCCGTCTGCATGGGATCATCAGTGGTCCCTGGGTCCTCTGTATGCGCAGGAACCTCAGACTGGTTCCTGGTCTTCTACTGCTCAGCTGCTGGGACTGGGGCCTGGACCTGGATGGGCTGAATATCAGGAACATCCTGTGGCTCATTGGAGGGAGCCTCCGGTGGGTCCGCTAATTGGATGATCGCCTCATCTGCACTAGGGAGCTTCCTCTTCTTCTTTGGAAGCCTCTGTGGCTCTACTGCTGGTACTGTTGTTGGAGCTGGATCCTCAAATAGCAAGTTTAAAGGTAGCTGGTCTGCCTTCAGTTTGTCCATATCCGCTCTAAGCTCCTTCATTGACTCCTTGGAAGCCCGTGTTTTGCGCAACTTCTTGTGCACCCTGGTAAGCTTCTTCAGGGTCTTACCATGTGAATCTACTTCCTTAGCCAAGGCACCCTGAGTACTGATGTTCTTTTCCTGGTTCTCCAGGATCATCTTCAATATATCCTCAATGGCCTATAGAAGCTGTGCTGGCTGCGGTGCCGACTGAGCCGCAATGGTAGAAGTCAAGGTGGACAACTTGGATGATGCAACTGACATCTAGTTGTTCAAGCTATGAAGTGTTTGGCTCAGCTGGTGGGCAATGATAGGATGGGCCCCAGGAAGATGGAATCCCCGGGCCAGCTAAAGTAGAGGGACCAGCAGTAGTGGAAGGTTCGGAAGGCATGTCAGCAACTGTGGAAGCAGGCTCAGTGGAGGGCGCTACCGCAACCGGCTCTTCAGACTAGCCGGTTGGGGCAGAAGCAGGCGGCTTGTAATTTTTTTCCTTGGGGTTGTCTGACCCCTTCAGACTGTACCATGAAAACGGAGCCACGGGTTTGACCTTGATGTCAAAAGGTCTATTCTCCACCTCCTGGTCCCTAGAATACATAGTGAGGGTGCTGGGAAAAGGGTAGTTCTGATCATGCTCAAACCCCACTGCATAAATGACGCGGGACATCACATTGCTCACTTGATAAGGTATACCGCCATAATAGATGCAACAAGAACAGCCCGGGCAAGCGGAATAGTCTGATCATGGGTAGTGGGGTCGAGCCGACTGCACACAAAAGTCAACCACCCCCTAGCCTCAAAGTTAAAAGTCCTCCGAAGTATTTTGACCCCTGCTTGCAACCACTCTGGAACCGTACCCGGGACTGCCAGGTATGAGGCTAACTATAGACGAACCTCCTCGCCCATTGCCAATGTTTCATTGTAAAGGGACTCATCTTCTTCGTTGAACCCCAGGTATTCATTTAGTGCCTTCCCGGTAAATACCATATTTTTGTTTCGCACTTTGGTCACTTTAGTGCCCTTCAGGATGTGGGCCACATTACTATAAAACTCCTTGACCATGTGCTCATTCGCTTTCACACAATTATCTTTGAAGTGCTCCCA